AAGGCTATATAATCTACCTAGTAGGATAGGAGAAAATATCTTACAGTATTTATATCTACAAATACTGGGGTTTCCTCTCATAAAAAGAAGTCTGGAGGGGGCTGGGAAGGTGGCTCAGTGGTAGAGTGCTTTGCCTTGCATGCATGCGGCACTGGGTTCAATTCCTCAGTACCACATAAGGAGAAAAAGGTGGAAGTGGCACTGTGGCTCAAGTGGTAGAGCGCTAGCCTTGAGCTGAAGAGCTGAGGGAGAGTGCCCAAACCGAGTTCAGACCCCACGACCAAAAAAAAAAAAAAAAGAAGTCTGGAGGCAGGTAGCTAGCCACTAGTCTGGTTATTCTACAATACCACCAAAACACTTTCCATCTTCCCTCCTTACCATTTTTGGTACAGTTGCTATTGACCTGGAGGTTCACACAGACTAATAGTCTCTGTTAATGCTTTTTTTAAATTCTTGTTTTGAACAAGTTTTACCAGCTAGGATTTTGTCAAGCTTTACTTTTTGAAATATTTCAAGAGGTCAGTTCAAACGACTCACTAATTTCACAGATGGGGAAAATAGATTTGCCCTTAGCAAACTAACAGCTAATTAGTTAAATGAGGTTGGAATTCAGTGTTCTTTCTGCTATCAATTTAGTGGAGATTGCAAGTTGTCCACCAAAATCTGTTCTCCCATTCTTTCTTGGCACAGGGCTTGATTCCTTTTCTCAGGCTCCCTGGCAGGTAGGTGTGGCCATAAGACTAAATTCCTGCCAATGGAAAGTGAGTAGATGAAGGCATGCCACTGCAGGGTCCAGGCCTTCAGGCAACAGGCGTGCCTCCTGCCTCCTCCCTTTCCCCTTCCCACTGGCTGGGACCAGGGATGACCCAGCTTCAAGTGCGGAAGAGAATAATGCACTACAGGATGGAAAAGCAACGTGATACAAAGAAACCGTGTCCCTGAATGACCATCTGGAACAGAGCTGCCCCACTGACCTGGACCACTCTTTTCAGAAAGACTAACTCAGAGCTGTTACAGGAGAAATAATCAACTGCTTTGTTCTCTATGCCACTGCATTGTTGAGTCTCTTTGTTACAGCAGCTTAGCCTTTTACTTTAACTAAAACAACCATTTATCTGCCTTTGTACATACTCAGAAAAGCTTTAGCCCACATTTTAGAAAACACCCCTAACCCACCAAGTAGGTGATAATCAAATATTGAAATTCCTACCTGGGGCTACTGTACCAAGACTTCTTCAGCCTTTTTATAGAGTATTTAATGGTTGAATCAGATTACTTAAGAGACCCATTTAGCTTTTATGCAATTAATTTAATCAATATTAAGCTGTTGGTGCTCTGGACATAGTCACTGTACTCATAAAAACTTGCTGTGTGTGTGCATGTATACACAGACATATATTACTTCTGTTGTTGGCCTTTCATATGCTGTGTGATTTTGTTTTCTTGCAGTATGGCTGATCAAAACCAGTCTTTTTTTTTTTTGGGGGGGGGGGGTCAGTTGTGGGGCTTGAACTCAGGGTCTAGGCGCTGTCTATGAGCTCTTTTTTTTTTGCCAGTCATGGTGCCTGAACTAGGCCTGGGCACTGTCCCTCAGCTCTTCAGCTCAAGGCTAGTGCTCTAGTTGAGCCACAGCACCATTTCTAGCTTTTTCTGCTTATGTGGTGCTGAGGAATCGAACCCAGGGCCTCATGCATGCAAGGAAAGAGCTCTACCACTGAGCCACCTTCCCAGCCCCTCTATGAGCTCTTTTGCTTAAAGCTAGTGCTCTACCACTTTGAGCCACAGATCCACTTCTGGTTATCTGGTAGTTAATTGGAGATTAAGAGTCCCAAGGACCTTCCTGCTTGGTCTGTCTTTGAACCTCAATCCTTAGATCTCAGACTCCTGAGTAGCTAGGATTACAGGTGTTAGATATTGGCTTATTAAGACTTTGGTTTTAACCAGAAGAAGCAGAAGAAGCAAGCACACTGCCCTGCGTTACTACCCTATCCTTTGTGGTAGTGGTGATGGTGGTGTGTGTGTAAGTAGAAAAATCTTCTTTACTAAATGGGGAAGTGAGGCTAGGAGTACAAATAATTACTGAGAGTTATAAACGTTCAGATCGGGGCTGGGAAGGTGGCTCAGTGGTAGAGCGCTTGCCTTGCATGCCTGAGACCTTGGGTTCGATTCCTCAGCACCACATAAGCAAAAAGAAAAAAAGCCGGAAGTGGCCCTGTGGCTCAAGTGGTAGAACGCTAGCCTTGAGCTGAAGAGCTGAGGGACAGTGCCCAGGCCCAGAGTTCAGGCCCCAGGACCGGACCCAAAAAATAAAAATAAAGGTTCAGATCATGAACTGGGGACTATAGATGAACTCTGCTTAAGCCTAAAGATTAATTATTTGAAAATTACAAATCCAACTATCAGCTAGATGCTAGTGGCTTACTCCTGTAATCTTAGCTATTCAAAAGACTAAGATCTGAGGAGTGTGGTTCAAGGCCAGCTCAGACTTTCCTAAGTCTATGAGACACTTATTATCTCCAGTTAAATACCAAAAGTTGGAATGTGGAACAGTGGCTCAAGCAGTAGAGCTAGTCTTGAATAAAAAAACTAAAGGTCAGTGTCCAGGCCTCAAGGTCAAGCCCCAGTAATAGCACACATACATATAAAACAAAAAATGACAACAAAAAAGAAAACACCAACTCTTGAGACTCAAGTTCCTTTGCCCATTTGAAACAACATTGTTTAAACAACAAGAAGTACTAACTGCAAGAAGACAAATCAAGATTTCTACTCACAGAGGTAGAGGAACCTAATGCCTCACAAAATGTTGAAATGAATTCCCAGAGCCATCTAGATAGCACTGCTGATGGCCTGGAGACTGAGTATCTAGACTGAAAGGCTCTGCTTCTCTGGGGACTAGCTAAGGCCAGTTGGTGCATTCCTTATCCTCACTCCAGGCTGAACAAACAGCCAAAGTAGGTCTCAATGGGAATTCCTAGTTATCAAAGAAAAATTGGCATGAGATTTAGGAGCTGGTGAGGGAAGTGATTTAAAGATTATCCCAACTTTACCATGACAGTAACATATTTGCTTGGGGTCTCATTTTCGCAACTATACAAAAAGATGCTAAGGACTGTTTCATCTCTACCTGGAAGACAATCACGAGGCACAAAAGAATCCTCTCCTGCCTTCATCATCAGTCCCCAGAGAGAAGCAGGCTGAGGGGACCCATCCTCATTCATACCTGGGCACTTAGCAGATTCCTAATGTTCTATCTTGCCCAGGATCTTTTGTGGTGATGCTGGAATAAATTTCTTCTTGCTGATACGACAGTTTCTAAGAATGTGAATTAAAAAAAAAAAAAATGTGAGCAGTTAGCTCAATCACAGTGCCTTTAATTTAACAGGCGTTTAATAAAAAAACATTAGGTATGGGCTGGGAATGTAGTTTAGTGGTAGAGTGCTTGCCTAGCATGCATGAAGCCCTGGGTTTGATTCCTCAGTACCACATACACAGAAAAAAGCTGGAAATGGCACTGTGGCTCAAGTGGTAAGTAGAGTGCTAGCCTTGAGCAAGAGAAGCTCAGGGACAGTGCCCAGGCCCTGAGTTCAATCCCTAGGACTGGCAAAAAATTAAGAATTAAAATATATATATATATGCACTTTGATTATTTTTTTCTTTTGGGGAAGGGGGGGAATTCCTGAAATCCAACTGGCAGAGACAGCAGTGAATTCAGTGAGAAGTTATTGCCCTGGTATTTTAGATGGAAGGATTAAAAGCTCTATGAAGCAGGATTATTAGAACTAGTTCTTCCTGTTTGTCCATTGAGACTTTTTAAAGCATTAAACATATTTAGCAACTTGAGTGAAGAACATTTCGGAGACTAAACTTCCTCCTTAAAAGCAGCCAGCTTAACCCAGCACTTAAGAGCTCCAGTCTAGCTGCTTATCTCAAGTCCAGCCCTGTCCCTTGTTGGCTGTACTCTTCATTGGGCCTCTGCCCCCGTAACAACAATTTGAGCAAAACCTTTGGGGCATTTTTGGGGGGGAGAGGAGGATATCTCACTATGTAGCTTGAAACTTGCAATCTCTTGCCTCAGCCTTCTAAGTGCTAGGATTACAGGTGTATAACCACCACAGAAGTAGCTTTTGGAGGGGGGGGCCAGTCGTGGGGCCTGAACTCTGGGCCTGGGCGCTGTCCCTCAGCTCTCCAGCTCAAGGCTAGCGCTCTATCACTTGAGCTACAGCGCCACTTCTGGTTTTTTCTGCTTACATGGTACTGAGGAATCAAACCCAGAGCCTCATGCATGCCAGGCAAGCACTCTACCACTGAGCCACCTTCCCAGCCTAAAAGCATTTTTTTAAGGTCCAGAAGAAATGTTCCTTTTTCCATGATTCCTTTCTCTCCTCTCTAAAATGAAATTCTGCACAACTTTTATATACCTTGATACCCTCTTACCTAGACTGGGTGGTTATGTGCACAATATATATAAGCTCCTTGAAAACAAAGAGTCACATCTCACCTCTGTATTACCTAAGTCTAGAGCCTCTCATACCAAGATTCTGAACAAATTCATTTTGGTCAGAGTTACTGCCTCACAGATGTTGAATTCCTGCAAGTTAATAAATAATACTGCTGGCAGCTCAAATCACTACAGTAAGAGCTTTAAACAAAAGACCTCTAATGACAAACCATCCAGATTATTCCAGGAACACATCTGCTGCACAAATCAGTAGAAAGCATGACCTATGAAGATACTCGGGTGGGCTAGGAACGTGGCTTAGTGGTAGAGTGCTTATCTAGCATATATGAAGCCCTGGGTTCCATTCCTCAGTACCACATAAACAGAAAAAGCCAGAAGTGATGCTGTGGCTCAAGTAGTAGAGTGCTAGCTTTGAGCAAAAGAAGCTCAGGGACAGTGCCCAGACCCTAGGTTCAAGCCCCAGGATTGGCAAAAAAATAAAAAGATACTTGGCACATAATTCATAAACCAGCCACGGACATATGTACATTTCAAATGATTGTAGAGACCCTTGCAAACTTTTTATTTAATTTTCAATAAAAATATAGATTTCTACCTTACTAGAAAGATATCAGCGACAGCAGTTATCACACAGGAACAGCCCAACAGCTCTCTGTCTTTATACTCTAGGTCACAACTAATTCGGCCTGGTTCCTCCTCCTCTGGAATTCTAAGAGCTGCTCTGGCTCACTTAACTATCTCACTAGGGCTTATCCTTTCCTGCTGTACCCAAATCCAGAACTCCTGATTTGTGCCTCACAATACCTCAGTCATCTACAAAAGCATCTGCAAATCAGATATTTTTAGCCAGTATCAGGGACAAAAGCCTTCTTTTAAGGGATGTAAGTGAATTCCTGTGTTCACCCCTAAAAGGATGCTCATGTATTAAATGTGCAATCTGTGCCTCTTTCTAAAATCAAACCTTTAAGGTTCAAAGAAAAAAAAATCCCATCCTGAACTATATCATTACCAGACACAACAGCCACACTGGAGCTGAAAGCCTGCTGCCAGGGACAGGAGACCTTAAGACCATACTACAGAAAGAGCATGGTGGGCGTTCTGTCCAGCATTCTGCGTTCCAGGGCAGTACAAACAGATGCAACCTCCTTCCTGAACTTGACCCTCCCTCCTTTGCAAAGGCCACTGAACATATCTCTTAAATGCTTATTTTGGCCCTTGACATGCTGTCCCGAGGATCTCTTCTCTTGAAGTTCTATGTTTCAGTTTGGAGAAATACTCTGTCTTTCTATGGTATTGATGGCATCTGAGTCCAATTTTCTTCTTTTCTTCAGGTGGTACAAGTGAGACTTGGATTTCCTATGTGCTGAGAAAACAAAAACAAACAATCAAAAACTCAAAATTTAATATTAAAAGATATATTAAACTTAACTATACAATCCTTTCATAATGAATGACAGGATCGACACATATAGAAGCAGAGCTGTTGTTTTTTTGAGATAGGCTCACACTATGTAGCCCAGGCTGCCCTTGAACTATGTGATCCTCCTGAGTGCTGAGATAACAGATATGTACTACCAACCTACCTGATTAGCATTTCTTTTTGTTTGTTGTTGTGCCAGCCAGTCCTAGGGCTTGAACTCAGGGGCTGGGCGCTGTCTGTGTGCTTTTTGCTCAAGGCTAACACTCTATCACTTGAGCCACAGCTCTATTTGTGATTTTTTTGGTGGTTAATTTGGGGACAAGTCTCACAGATTTTCCTGCCTAGGCTGGCTTTGGATTATGATTCTCAGATCTCAGCCTCCTGAGTAGCTATCTTACAGGTGTGCACCACTTATATAGGCTGGCTAACTTATATAGGCTCATTTTCACTATCCTGTCTGTACTCATCCACCCAAGGAAACCTCACCTGGAAATACCTAAAGAGAGGGATGGCTAGAATAAATTCTTTTGTATATTTAAAACATCATTTTTAAGGATTCAGAAGCAAACCTAAGTAAGAAAAAGGTTAGAAGTCAGACAATTTACTTGGAGAGAAAAGTCAGCTTTGTTCTCCAGCTAGAGCCTAAGGCAAAAAACTGGGCTCTGGACTGACTCTCCATGGCAGCAGGAGATGGGAGCAAGGACTTGACAGATGGCACTATAGATGGGCTTACACAGCCAAGCTCACAAAGACTCACAAATGTTGCTTCTCTAAGGCTCTCTGAAGGACATTTGACAAACCAAATCACTAAGTTTCCTTTACAAAACAATCAGACACTCTTTCTCTTCCCCTTTCATCATTATAAACCAAGAACAATCGTGGCTTCTTCTGCTGGTTGGGCAATCACAGCCATCCCCAGTCTCTGACAATGGAGTTCATTTTGCCAGGGTTACCAGTTAATAGACCTAATCATTCTACTGGTTGATAATGGGGAAAAAAAGCAAAAACAAAAAAAACACTTTTCTAAGAATCCAAGCAAAGCAGTACTCTGAGCAGGATTCCAGGCTGCTGGGTAAACTGTAAGACCCACCATGCCTAAAAGAAGTGAGCCCTGGAATGTGACTAAATTCAAATGGGGTGAGACCTCCTGGGCCTTCACTGTGTGACTACAGAAATCCCACAGGAGAGTGCAATAGAATGAATGGTGACTATCAGAGGGCGGATCTAAGCAGAGACTGAGCCTCTGGGCAGTGACTTTGTGCCAGTGGTACTACTACTCTCTACATTTGACTGACAGGTTGGCTCTTAAAGCTTCCCTTGCCATCTTTCAGAACAATCTCAGCCACTACAGTACTTCCATAAACTACCTTGGGAAGTACTGAAGAGGCATGGCTTTTCAAGACCATGCTCCAAAGGAATGACTGTACTTCCTGCTCCCTCCCAGCTATGCTTCTGCTTCTTCAGTCTCTTGCATGAGTTGCCTTCATTCCTTTATAATGGTATCTCACCTCCACTGAATCCTAAACATGAAAGGTCAAGAAACTCCTCTTGAGCAGAATCATGAAGTCAAAGGAACACCCATGCCAGATGGAGCTAGAGGTCATATGCCCTTCCTTTGCATTTCAGAATGTGGAAGCAGCTCTTTAGTATGGGAAAACCTCCAAAGAATATAAGCACAGGGTCTTAAAGGAACCTGACAGTCCTTTAACGTTCCAACAGTTCAATACCAAGACCTTTAAATTTCAGCAAGTCAGCATGACTCTCCCCTCCCCCACGCTTATGATTTCTCCATTCCCTTCCCTAAACTCTACCTGCCCACTCACGGTCCCCGATGATGATTCGGTCACAGAGGTCACACATATGGTAACTTCTCTTGTTCTCAGTTTCATTGTGTGATGTCTTTATTGGAGTGGCAGCAGGTTTGTGGCCCTAAGAAAACCAGAATAAGTGGAACATTAGATTCAAAGAGATCTGGATATAATTCTCTGATATTAAGAGGGGAAGGATTTTCCCAAGATTCCTTTTTTGTACCCCAGGAAGCAGGTGGGCTGTGAACAGGTTTTAGCAACAACCTTTCTAAATGTGAAAGTAGAAACAGAGCCTCCAGATTTAAAAGAAGCCAGCCCTGCTGCTTCATTCTATAAAAAAGAAGGCTTGGTTTCCTGACACAGTAACAAAAGTGTCAGCAAATAAAAATGCGCTGAAAATCTAACAATAGACTCAACCATTATTAATAGTCACCTGGATAAAACTTTGCACGATATCAAGAGCAGGTTTGAGAACAAACTCCTCCCACTTGGAGACATCAGACACCTCTAAGCCATATACCGAGGGGACATTGGGACCAGGTCCTAATAAGACAAAGAAAATTTGGGAGGTCATCGTCAATATCCTATTCTACTCTTAAGACTAAACCCCTCAAGAGAAAGGATGACAGAATCATCATTCTGACTACACTATTCATTATCAATACTACCCACGGTCCAAGAAAGACCCAGAACATGACTCACCTGCAGCCAATACCTAAAACATACAACCAGAGACTTGGATGCACAATCTTTAAAATCAGTAAACTGAATGGAATAACAGTTCTATGACTTATGTATGGACTACAACATACAGACAGCACATGGGCTGAAGGTATGGCTCAAGTCAGAGCACTTGCCTAACAAGTGCAAGGTCCAGGTATTGACTTCAGGCCCCAGTTAGCACCAAAAACAAAAACTTTTTAAGTAAAAAATAACAACAGTGTATCATAGAAGGAAATAAACTCACAGCTTTAAGTGCTTTAAGTGCCTGTTTTAAGTTCTATGACATCTATGGCTCTCTGTGGCAAGAAAGAAAGTTCACCCACCACCGACAAAAAAAAAAAAAAAAAAAAAAGAAAGTTCACGGCTCTCTTTAGAAGTAGACACTAGCCTCAAATTTGCATATCCCTTTGGCAGCCCAGTGTTCAGGATACAGCATGCTGATAAGGTGGGCTGGGAACAATAACAGGAGCCAATAAGCAACCGAAACTGAGAACTAGAAAGAGCCCTGGAATCGACTGAGTTGAACCCTTTCTTTGATAGCCAGATCTAGTGGAGTACTCAAACAACACTTCTAAGTAGGGCTGAGACTGGAGGCAGCCAAGAGTTCAGCTCCAGGCATTCATTTATCACTTCAGTCAGCCTTGCTGCCAGAGTTTAGTCTCTGCAGATAGCTTCACCAGCCACTAGACACACTTACCTTCCCTGGCCAGGTAAAGTCAGTTACTGAAAGGCAAAGAACATTGTTCCATGGACAAAAACATCAAAGGAATGGAGATGCCAACGGCTGGCAGGTGCTAGCCTTTTGATTGTGCCAACCACAAATAAGATTCTTCGTAAACTGGACTGGGCTGCACCTGCCACCACACGGAAAGGTGAGACTATGAGGGTGCAGGCAGCACCCACAGCACACCTGGCCTTGGCTAAGCTCTGCACCTGTTTCCAGGACACTCTACATTTTCCTTTCTCCTCTAAGTCCTTTGTTGGGCTTCTGTGCCCTGTCTAAGCACCTTTCAACAAGTTCTCGGCTCCCAGCTGCTATTTCTGGCCTGGATCCAAGGCCAAGCTGGGGTGGGGAAGTCCCTCTGGCTTCATGCCAGACCATATCCCAGAAGATCTGCCATGGCCAATCAAACGTGGCTCCTGACTTACAGGGCAGCTGTGCCTTTCACTCTAGCACCAGGACTGTGCCAGCACACGTGAATGAGGAACAGACATATGACACACTATGCCATCAACTCCTCCTGCCTCAGAGATGGGGGAGTTGTAGTGTAATCATAGAAGGAAGTTCTAAATTATTATAAAAAGGGCCCTTTTGTTTCAGACTGATTGTCAAACTTAGGAAAAGAGTTATATTGGAAATATGTCAACTTTAGCTGAGACTATCTTCCCCTCTATCTGTCAAGATGTACAAAGAAAAGAGGGTAAGAAGAAAGCAATCTAATGGTCACATCACAGGATAAGGTATATATACTCAGAGGTACCAAAAGACAGGGGCAGACACTTCAGCTAGCCTTCCTTATAACTGAATGCAGAAGTCTACTGACAAAACACAAATATGAGATGATTAAGAAGCATATTTAAAAGTTTCCACAGTGGGGCTAGGAAAGTAGTTCGGTGGTAGAGTGCTTCCCTTGCATGCATGAGGCCCTGGATTTGATTCCTCAGCACCACTTAAGCAGAAAAAGCTGGAAGTGGCACTGTGGCTCAAGTGGTAGAGCGCTAGCCTTGGGCTAAAGGGCTGAGGGACAGTACTCAGGTCCAGAGTTCAGGCCCCACTATTGACAAAAAAAAAAAAAAGTTTCCATGGGATAATACTGGAGTTTCACTCACACTTAATTTCCTTTTAGTTCATAAGCTCAGAAATGTTGTACTTAACTAGGCACCAGTGGCTCACGACTATAATCCTAGCTATTCAGGAGGCTGAGATCTGAGGTCAAGGTTTAAAGCCAGCCCAGGCAAGAAAGTCCATAAGACTCTTATCTCCAATTAACCACCAGAAAACCAGAAGTAGAGCTGTGGCTCTAGTTGTAGAGTGCTCACCTTGAGCTAAGGAGCTCAGGGACAGTGCCCAGGCCCAGAGATCAAGCCCCATGACCAACAACAACAACAAGGAAAAACAACAACCTGGGGCTGGGAAGGTGGCTCAGTGGTAGAGCGCTTGCCTTGCATGCCTGAGGCTCTGGGTTCGATTCCTCAGCACCACATAAGCAAAAAGAAAAAAGCCGGAAGTGGCACTGTGGCTCAAGTGGTAGAGCGCTAGCCTTGAGCTGAAGAGCTAAGGGACAGCTCCCAGGTCAAGAGTTCAGGCCCCACAACCAGACCCAAAAAAAAGAAAAGAAAAAGAAAAACAACAACCTAAGGAAAAACCACTGCTGCCTAGGCAACAGTACAGTACAAGAAACAAGAAGAGTATAGATTTTTGAGTCAGGCCTACACTCAGTCTCTACTGCCTACTAGCTGAGGTATTTGTGGCAAATTGTTTAATCTCTCAAGTCCTTCATTTTCTTATACCTATAAAAAGAAATAAAGCCAGGTACTGGTGGCTCATACCCGTAATTCTAGCCACTCAGGATGCTGAGATCTGAGGATTATGATTCAAAGCCAGCCTGGGTAGGAAAGCCCATGAAACTTTTTTTTTTTTTGGGGGGGAGGGGGTCTGGTCGTGGGGCCTGAACTCTGGGCCTGGGCGCTGTCCCTCAGCTCTTCAGCTCAAGGCTAGCGCTCTACCACTTGAGCCACAGTGCCACTTCCGGCTTTTTTTCTTTTTGCTTATGTGGTGCTGAGGAATCGAACCCAGGGCCTCAGGCATGCAAGGCAAGCGCTCTACCACTGAGCCACCTTCCCAGCCCAAGCCCATGAAACTCTTATAATCAATTACCCACCAAAATACCAGAAGTGAAGCTATGACTCAAAGTGGCAGAGTGCTAGCCTTGAGCAAAAGAGCTCAGGGACAGTGCCCAGGTCCCAAGTTCAAACCTCAGGATTGGCAAAAATAAATACACACATAGATAAACAGGCAGCCAGACAAACAGACAGATATAGCCTCTACATCTTGAAGGCTCAACACTATACACACTACACACAACACCAAATTTAGGGCAAGAGACAGGAGACAGGGTCAACTTATGAGAATTTCCTTCCCTTAAAAGTTCTGTTCAGCTGGGCGCCGGTGGCTCATACCTATAATCCTAGCTACTTAGGAGGCTGAGACCTGAGGATCACGGTTCAAAGCCAGCCCAGGCAGGAAAGTTTGTGAGACTCTTACCTCCAATAAACCACTCTGAAAACTAGAAGTGGTGCTGTGGCTTAAGTAGTAGAGCACTAGCCTTGAGCTAAAGAGCTGAGGGACAGGGCCCAGGCCCAGAGTTCAAGTCCCACAACTGACAAAAAAAAATTCAATGTAGCAGTGGTACTCAATAGAAACTATGTTGAAAATGAACTATACAACTTGTGAGTGGGACAAGAGAAGAAAACAAGAGAAGGGGTGACACTGTCCAGAAAGAAATGTACTCTTTACCGGACTTATATAACTGTAACCACTCTGCATATCACCTTTATAGTAACAATAAAAAAACACGTTTTTTTAAGTTCAGTTTGGCTGGGCACTGGTGGTAAATGGCTAGCCTTGAGCACAATAGCTCAGCCATAGTGCCCAGGCCCAGAGTTCAATTCCTAGAACTAGAAAGAAAAAAAATTCTGTTCAACCAAGTGCTGGTGGCTCATGTCTATAATCAATCCTAGCTACTCAGAAGGCTGAGATATGAGATCACTGTTCATAGCTAGCTAGCCCAGGAAGGAAAGTCCATGAGACTCTTACCTTCAATTAACCACCAAAGAGCTGGAAATGGACCTGTAGCTCAAGTGGTAGAGCACTAGCCTTGAGCAAAAAAGCTCAGGGGCAGTACCCAGGCCTAGGTTCCAGCGCCAGGACTGGAAAAAAAAAAAAAAGAGTTCTGTTCAGCTAACATTTCATTTGAAGTAATTAAATGAAACCATTTCTGACCATAAGAAGATGCTGGGAGAAACAGTGAAGATTTTGTCTTTTTTTGTGTATGCCAGTCATAGGACTTGAATTCAGAGTATAAGCGCTGTACCTAAGCTTTCTGTTGTTGTTGGTAATGGGGCTTGAACTCAGGGCCTGGACCCTCTCCCTGAGCTCTTGCTCAGGGTTACTGTGCCACTTCTGGTTTTCTGGTGGCTAACTGGAGATAAGAGTCTTATATCCCGCTTGAGCTGCTTTGAACAATGATCCTCAGATCTCAGATTCTGAGAAGGTAGGATTACAGTCATGAGCCACCAGTGCCCAGTTTTCACTCAGCTTTTTTGTTCAAGGCTAATGCTGTACCACATGAGCCATAACTGTTTTTGTCTGTTGTGTTTTTTTTTTCTGAGACCTCATAACACCACTTCTATCTCTTTTTGGTGGCTAATTGGAGATAAAAGCCTTATGGGGGGTGGGGAAAGAAGAGAAATAAGCAGCTCTTGGGGTTAGAGGTGTGGCTCAGTTGGTAGAGTACTAGCCAATGAGCAAAAGTGCCAAGTACCAAGTTTCAGAACTGTAATTAAAAAGAAAAAAATGTCTCAGGGGCTCTCCTGCCCAGGCTGGCTTCAAACCACAGTCCTTAGATCTCAGCCTCCTAAGTAGCTAAGATTATAGACATGAGCCACTAGCACCTGGTTTAAAGGTTTGTGGTTTTTTTTGTTTTGGGTTTGTTTTTTTTTTTTTTATCGTGGGGCTTGAACTCAGAGCCTGGGTACTGTCCCTGGACTCTTCAGCTCAAGGCAAGTGCTCTACCACTTGAGCCACAGCACCACTTCCAGTTTTCTGGAGTTTAGAGTTTCACTGACTTTTCTGCCCAGGCTGAATATGAAGTGTAATCCTTAGATCTCAGCCTCCTGAGTAGGTAGGATTATAGGCTAGAGCCACTGGCACCCAGCTGGCTTGAAGGTTTTTGGGGGCCTGAACTCAGGGCCTGGGCACTGTCCCTGAGCTTCTTTTGCTCAAGGCTAGCACTCCACCACTTGAGCCACTGTGCCACTTCTGGCTTTTTCTGTTTATGTGGTACTAAGGAATCGAGCCCAGGATTTAATGCATGCTAGGTAAGTACTCTTATCACTAAGCCATATTTACTCAGCACAGTTTTGTCTTTATATGTGACCATGCGGCTCAAAAGCTTTTTTTTTTTTTTTTTTTTTGCAGGTCATGGACTTTGAACCAGGATCCTCAGATCTCAGCCTCCAGAGTAGCTAGGATTACAGGTGTGAGCCACCGGCACCTGGCTCAGAAGCTTTTTTTTCAGTACTGTAGTTTGAACTCAGGACTTCACACTAACTAGGCCGTGGAGCTTGAACTCTAGGTCTGAGTGCTGTCCCTCAGCTCTTCAGCTCACGGCGAGCGCTCTACCACTTGAGCCACAGTACCACCCTATAGATTTCTAAGTGTTCTTTAGATACAAAGCTGAAGCTAAAATCAACCATGAACATCAACTCTGCTGATACATTGCTCATTTACCCTTATATATTAGAAGTCAATACCATCTCATCAAAGTGTAAGGAGACTACTCAATAGAAACTTAAGTCATTTTTGTCTGGATTTTTTCTGGGATATCACAAGAAAATACCCCTGAACAATCATTTATTTATATAGGCAGGTCTTCCCCCAGGCAAGGTATAGAAACAGAAGTTCATTTTCTGGATGAGAGGAGGATACCTATATTCTATCAAGAATGGTCCCAAGGGATAATGATAAACAAGAGACTTACTGCTCAAAAAACGGTTTTTAACCCATCGGTTTTGCTTCCGGGCATATCTCTTAGTTACTTGCTTCAAAGACTCGATACCTGAAAGATATGGTAGATACAGGAGAATTTAGGTAAGCATTTCTTTCCTTGTTAAGAAAAGGCCCACATGCTGAGAAGGTGGCTCAGTGGTAGAGCACTTGCCTTGCACGCATGAGGCTCTGGGTTCGATTCCTCAGCACCACATAAGCAAAAAGATAAAAGCCAGAAAGTGGCGCTGTGGCTCAAGTGGTAGAGTGCTAACCTTGAGCTGAAGATCTGAGGGACAGCGCCCAGGCCCAGAGTTCAGGCCCCACCACCGGACCCAAAAAAAAGAAAAGAAAAGAAAAGAAAAGGCCCACACAACCCAACAGAGAAAAGCAGCACAGGAGCTGGGAATGTGTCTTAGTGGTATCGCATGCATGAAGCCCTGGGTTCGATTCCTCAGTACCACATACACAGAAAAAGCTGCAAGTGGCGCTGTGGCTCAAGTAGTATAGTGCTAGCCTTAAGCAAAAGGAACTCAAGGACAGTGCCCAGGTCCTGAGTTCAAGTCCCAGGACTGGCAAAAAAAAAAAAAAAAGGAAAGAAAGAAAGAAAGGAAGGAAGGAAGGAAGGAAGAAAGGAAGGAAGGAAAGGAAAGAGAGAGAGAGAAAGAGAGAGAGAGAAGGAAAGAAAAGAAGAAAGGAAGAAAGAAAGAAAGAAAAAGAAAAGCAGCACAAAGTTAGACTACATAGGCAGCAATCTCAGTTTCGAGCTGACGGCCATTTGGGGGCTTCTTCTAGCCTCAGCTCTTGCTCAGACCATAACAGTAGGGTGCTCTCTCATCCAAGGATGTTCAAGACTAGTTAGAAGGATGGATTCACACCTTTCTTTAGAAGCTGGTTACTTGTCTCTGGTGTGCATTTTCCCTCAGTGATCAGGTACTCGTGAAATTCCTTGAAGCCAATTGACTGGAAGATACCATGTTGATAGTCCTGGCTGGGAACAGGAGAGCATTAGCAGATGAGCCATTGCCTCTGAAAACTAAGCCTTGGCCACTGTCTTCTAGAACCATTTCATTTCAGATGAAAACATTGAGATTCTGAGCAATTACTGACTCTAAAATTCTCCCCCTTCTCTCCCAGATTACTTCCTTGAAAAGTAACTCCCAGGAATGCCTGAATAAAACTGCAACAGTAACAAGTACACTAATCTGCCTTCCAGCTCTCCCAAAGCCTAGGGCAAAGACTGATAAACAAGATCCAAAGCTAGTATTTAGGTCTCTGGTCTTTTAGCCAAAGGCAAAGAGTGGAGAGTTTTAAAGTCACAGTCAAATACTCACCTCTTTTCTGAAACTTTCTTCTGATTATAGCGCCTGTGAAAATCTCTTAGCTCCTCCAAGAGACCAGCAGCAAGCATGTCATCCACTCTCTTATCCAAGCGCTCATCTAAAACTTAAATCAAATTAGCCCATGAACTAGCAATATATTGCAGGTACCTCCTGTACACTTACATAGTAAATGGACAGGCTGCCACAAAGAAAAGAATCTGTTCAAATGGAAGAGCTATTCAGATTTTATAAGTGAGATAATAGCTGGGTACCAGTGGCTCATATCTGTAATCTTAGCTACTCAGGAGGCTGAGATCTGAAGATTATGGTTCAAAGCTAGCCTAGGCAGAGAAGTCCCCATAAGACTCTTATCTCCAATAAACCACTCAAAAACAGAAAGTAGTGCTGTGGCTTGAGTGGTAGAGCACTAGCCTTGAGCACAGAGAGGCTCAGGGACAGGGCCACGCCCTGAGTTCAAGCCCCACAACCAACCCAAGAAAAAGTGAGATAATAATTTATATAACTTAACTCATATGACAGATTCAGCAACTCCAAACAAAAATGGCCAAAATAAAACATAACCATTCTCATTATATAAAGCTATATACAGCTGTGTAAAGGGTAATATCTTATTTTATTTTTTGGGGGTCCAGTCGTGGGGCCTGAAGTCTGGGCCTGGACCCTGTCCCTCAGCTCTTCAGCTCAAGGCTTAGCGCTCTACCACTTGAGCCACAGCGCCACTTCTGGCTTTTTTCATGCATGCAAGGCAAGCACTCTACCACTGAGCCATCTTCCCAGCCCTAATATTTTATTTTTATATAAACTGTGCACTTAATAGCTCTACCACTGAGCCACATTCCCAGCCCTAATATTTTATTTTTATATAAACTGCACTTACTAGCTTTGTAAAGGTGAGTAAGGATCCCCTAGTTTACTGTTCTTAACAGCTCCATTTCTACCTCTTTTGAGGTACTTAAGAGACAAGAGTCTCATAGATTTTCCTGCCCAAGCTGACTTCGAACCATTATCATCAGGTTTCAGCCTTCTGAGTATTACGGTTACAGGCATGAGCCACCAGCATCTGTTGTTTCTTAACTCTTATCTTGTATTTGTCACTTGCACTGTCCCTGAGCTTCTTCATTCAAACCTAGCAATATACCACTTGAACTGTCATTCAAGTATATACTTAGAGGTTAATTGGAGGTAAGTCTCACAGACTTTCCTGCCTGGGCTGGTTTCAAACATGTTCCTCAGATCTCAGAAGTTCATTCAAACCATCCTCGGGGGCTGGGAAGGTGGCTCAGTGGTAGAGCACTTGCCTTGCATGCATGTGCATGAGGCCTTGGGTTCGATTCCTCAGCACCACATAAGCAAAAAAAAAAAAAAAAGCCAGAAGTGGTGCTGTGGCTCAAGTGGTAGAGTGCTAACCTGGAGCTGAAGAGCTGAGGGACAGCGCCCAGGCCCAGAGTTCAGGCTCCACGACCGAACTCAGGGCTAGCCCTGAGCAAAAAAAAAAAAAAAAAAAAAAAAAGGCCCAGGACAGCACTCTTGCCCTGAGTTCAAAACTGGCACACACAAAAAAATCTTCTGAGCTGGGTGCTAGTGGCTACTCAGGAGAATGAGATCTAAGGATCATGGTTCAAAGCCCAGGAAGGTCCATGAGATTCTTTTTTTTGTCGGTCCTGGGGCCTGAACTCTGGGCCTGGGCACTGTCTTTCATCTCTTTAGCTCAAGGTTAGCCATTTGAGCCACAGTGCCACTTCTGGCTTTTTCTGCTTATGTGATACTGAAAAATCAAACTCAGGGCCTCATGTATGCAAGGCAAGCACCCTACCACTAAGCCACATTCCCAGCCCCCATGAAATTCTTATGTCAAATTAATCACCAAAAAGACAGAAGTGGAACTGTGACTCTATACAGCACTAGCTGTGAGCAAAAAAAAAAAGATCCTCAGGCTGACATAAGAGGATCCGCGTTCACAGCCCGTCCAGGAAGGAAAGGCTGTGAGACTCATCTCCAATTAACCACCAGAAAACCAGAAGTGGTGCTGTGGCTCAAGTGATAGAGCCCTAGCCTTGAGCTGAAGAGCTGAGGGACAGCGCCCAGGCCCAGAGTTCAAGCCCCACAACTGACCAAAAAAAAAAACAAAAAACAAACAAACCTAAAACAAAACTCAGAAACAGTATCTAGGCCCTGAGTTCACACCCCAGGACCATCACAAATATATATAATTTTTTCCATAAACTTAGTAACAGAATAATTTAACACCAAGTGTTTATCATTTCAGTTACATTCTCCATTGCTATCTCTGCTACTTACCATCATGCAATGAAGTATACTTTCTTACTTTCCTAAAAAGTTTGCATTGTTGAGGGTGACCACTTGCCAGGCACATTCTAAATATCTTGTGAGGGGCTGGGAAGGTGGCTCAGTGGTAGAGTGCTTGCCTTGCATGCATGAGGCCCTAGGTTCGATTCCTCAGCACCACATAAGCAAAAAGAAAAAAGCCGGAAGTGGCGCTGTGGCTCAAGTGGTAGAGTGCTAGCCTTGAGCTGAAGAGCTGAGGGACAGTGCTCAGGCCCAGAGTTCAGGCCCCACGACTGGACCCAAAAAAAAAAAAAAAAATCTTGTGTTTCATTTATTAACTCCTTTACTTAGCAGTGCTGGGATTTAACCTAGGGGTCCTGTGCATGTCAGGCAAATGCTCTACTACTGAGCTATATACCCACAACTCAGTATGTATTATTAATTCATTAATCCTCACTGATGCTATGAAATATGTTCTATGATATCTCCATTTCATAAAAGAACTGGAGCACAGAAAGTAAACTAAAAACTCACACAGGCCAGGCGCTGGTAGCTCAAACCTATAATTCATAATCCTAGTTACTCAAGAGGCTGAGATCTGAGGATCACAGTCCAAAGCCAGCCAAGGCAAAAACATCTGAGACTCACATCTCCAATTAACCACCAAAAAGCCAGAAGTAGAACTGTGTGTGGCTCAAGTGGTAGAATGTCATCATTGAGCAAAAAAGCTAACACAGTGCCCAGGTCCTGAGTTCAAGTCCTAGCTAGTACTGGCACAAGTTCTGCTTATGACTATACTACACAGTCATCTCATTCTCAGCCCCAGCTCACACCTTTACAAACTGTCTACCTCCCGAGAGAATGATCACCATCTCTTTTCTGTGGCTCCCAACACTCTGAACATACTACTAACCTGCATTTCTCACACTGCAGTATATCCATCTCTTTATTGGCACCCTACCAGACTGGGCAGTCCTTAAGAGCAGGCATCGTCTCTGAAACCTAGTTACTTCATAGAATACATGGTTCTTCATTAGAATGCTCACTGAATCTTTGTTGGAGGAATGAGTTACTATTATTATAGGACACTGTTATGTTTGAGCAATAAACACCATCAGCATATCATCATATCCACTTCTCAGGCCTGTGCTAAAATTATGAGTGATCCACCCTCCAGCCAACCCCAATGGGATGCTTTCCACAGGAAAACTTCCTTTTCTATTCTCCTTTGGACCTTCACTAGACAGCCATCTTACTTCCATTCTACTCATCTCATCCTATCCAAGCCATGCATCTCATGTTAGAACCAGCATTAACCTTCATTTTTCAGACAGATACCTAAGGGAATGGCATTGTGCCTAAGTCAACAAATAATAATTGCGATAATAAATTTAATAGCTAGTACTAACTAGTGATTATTATGAGCCACCCATGGTTCTAACACTGCATAAATAGTAACTTAGCATTGTAAGTTTTACCTCAAATGGACTCTAGGTGATCAAAGGGCTTTTACCTGTCTGGTCAGCATGAAGCCAGAGGATGCAAGGGTTAGGGAACTTCAGAGGGCCTCCGAGGGGACCACCGCCTTCCTCTGCATGTTGACGACGAAGAAATTCACTGTGAGAGATTCCTGTTTCTTCAAACACTTGCAAACTCCTAAGTTGTTTAAAGGGGGAAGGAATCCATAGAAATTATTAGTAAATAATCATTCCCAACTGAAACAAAGAAAAAGGACAAATGTTACAGAAAGCCACATTTTCATTTTATAGTGTATCTTTTCCCCTTCCCCCCAACAAGGTCCAGAGTGAGTATAATCTTACAGGGTCTCAGAAAGATCTTAAATAGGAAAATTCTATAGAAAGTGAGAAATACTATTATTCTTCCAACCAATATTCTAAAACAAGTTAAATAGGTTCAAAAATAACTAAGTTTTCTCTACACAAATACAATGAGACTCACTTTCAAGTGAACAGTAAAAGAGCTTGGTTGGGACACTCTGTACAAGCCAACAAGTCTGGTCTCGCTGGAGTGCCTTTCCCACAGTTCGAAAGTATGTAGTATATCCAGTTCATCAACTTTCTTCTTAAATATGTCTAAAATTAATCAAGAATACTCCTGGCTAATCCAGTACTCTGTTGGCACGAAGATCACTGAAGAAAAAATACACAGACTTACTCTAAGCTGTGTGTGTCTATTATATTATGCAGCACTAAGTAACTAAACGCTCAAATCTATACTCTACCACTCCAGATGATTGCAACTTATCAGCTTGAAAGTGATCTTTCCCTTTCTGACTCACTACTACTTTCGGAAACTCTAACACAAGGGTAGAGACCCCTTGTCTTTCAGTATCAATGACCACGAAAGTGGATTTATCAGAAACAAAAAAGTAACATATTTCACTTATAAGGAGTTTAGAATGCAGACTCAACCCAAAATAAAGGTGAAAACACACACACAACCCTCAGTCTTCTCTAAAGGAGAGACTCTAGAACTCTTCTAATGACTCATTAAAACATGATCCTCAAGCTCATATTAGTTTAGAAGCAGCAAAATAAAGAGCAATGCTAAGAGAGAAAAAACTGATTTGTCCAAACTGTTTACAGGAGGGTACAGTATGCTCAGGGGAGAAGGAATCCAAAGGTGTAACTCTTCTGAACAACTAAAATATCAAAATGAATACCAGGAAGTGGAAGCATGTTTTGGGGGTAAACAGGGGGGGCAGGCTACAGGAATGCAGGGAGGAAAGGTGAGAAAATGTAGTCATTATATTGAATTTACATTTTTACATTATGTAAAAAATGAACTATGTAACTTGAGAGTAGCCGTGGGAAGGGGAAAATGGGAGAGAGAATGAAGGAAGGGGTGTGTTCGCTTCGGCAGCACATATACTAAAATTGGAACGATACAGAATGAAGGAAGGGGTGACACCCAAGAAGCATATACTCATTACCTGATATATGGAATTGTAACCTGTATATACAACTACTTAATAAGTAACAATAACAATGTTTTTTTGGGGGGGTCCAGTTGTGGGGCCTGAACTCTGGGCCTGGGCGCTGTCCCTCAGCTCTTCAGCTCAAGGCTAGCACTCTACCACTTGAGCCACAGCGCCACTTCCGGCTTTTTTCTTTTTGCTTATATGGTGCTGAGGAATCGAACCCAGGGCCTCAGGCTTGCAAGGCAAGCGCTCTACCACTGAGCCATCTTCCCAGCCCACAATAACAATTTTTTAACTGATTTGTCCAAGGAGTGGAGAATAAGAGAATAAGAGCTGAGGTACAGCACAAATGGTACAAGATCTACCTGGCAAATAGAGACCCTGAGTTCAACTTCTAGGACCACAAAATATGAAACTGAGGAGACGGACAGGTGGACAGAGACAAACTGATAGAAATAGAATAAACACCTCGCTTTAAAATCATGTCATGGGGGCTGGGAAGGTGGCTCAGTGGTAGAGTGCTTGCCTTGCATGCATGAGGCCCTGGGTTCAATTCCACAGCACCACATAAGCAAAAAGAAAAAAGCTGGAAGTGGTGCTGTGGCTCAAGTGGTAGAGCGCTAGCCTTGAGCTGAAGAGCTGAGGGACAGCGCCCAGGCTCAGAGTTCAGGCCCCCGACCGGACCCCAAAAAAAAAAAAAAATCATGTCATGGGCTGGGAAGGTAGCTCAGTGGTAGGGTGCTTGCCTTGCATGCATGAGGCCCTGGGTTTGATTCCTCAGCACCACAAAAGCAAAAAAAAAAAAAAAAGCTAGACATTGTTCTATGGCTCAAGTGGTAGAGCACTAGCCTTGAGCTAAAGAGCTGAGGGACAGAGCCCAGGCCCATAATTCAGGCCCCACAACCAAAAAAAAAAAAAAATCATGTCATAAGCCAGGCCCCAGTAGCTCATGCCTGCCCAGGAGGCTGAGATCTGAGGATGGTGGTTTAGAGCCAGCCAGAGCAGGAAATTCTGTGAGACTCTTATTTCCAATTAACTGAAGTGGTACTGTGGTTCAAGTGGTAGAGCACTTGCCTTAAGCTGAAAAGCTGAGGGACAGCGCCCAGGCCCAGAGTTCAAGCTTCATAACCAACCTCCCCCCTCCCCAAAAAAAGTCATAAAAATGAATGCTCATCAAAATATTCCTAAGGTTTTTTTTTTTAATGGAAGTATTTCTATTAAAATGCTTTTTAAAAAATGTCTGGATTTTAGAAAGTATAAACTTCATCATACAGGGGTGGCAAACAACCAGTCCAAGGTCCCTTAAAATCTTTTGCTCAAGACTAACACTCTACCACTTGGGTCACAGCTCCACTTACAGTTTTTGAGTGATTAACTGGGAGATAAGAGTCTCACAGGATGCCAGGCACCAGTGGCTCACGCCTGTAATCCTAGCTACTCAGGAGTCTAAGATCTGAGGATCACGGTTCAAAGCCAGCCCAGGCAGCAAAGTCCATGAGACTCTTATCTCCAATAAACCACTAGAAAACCGGAAGTGGCGCTGTGGTTCACGTGGTAGAGTGCTCCCTTTGAGCTGAAGAGCACAGGGACAGTGCTCAGGCCCAGAATTCAAGCTCCACAACTGACAAAAAATAAGTCTCACAGGAACTTTTGTGCCCAGGCTGGCTTTGAACCATGATCCTCAGATCATAGCCTCCTTAGTAGCTAGGATTGTAAGAATGAGCCACTGGCACCAGCTAAAATCTTTTGGTACCTAACAGGCCAGACACATATGCTTCTATGCTACTCATGGCCCACCTGCCTATACTGACTTTTGTATGGTCTACAAATGATCTTACAAATATCCAGATAGCAGTGAGTAGAAAGAGGGTTCTGTACCCCAGAGAGAACATGAGTGATATTGCCCAAAGGAACAAAAAAAGTTAGAATGAAAGGTGGCCCTCTAAACAACAATCCTATCTGGAAAGATTTTATTCTGTCAGGCAATGGTGGCTCACATCTGTAATCCTAGCTACTCAGGAGGCTGAGATCTGAGGATTACGGTTTGAAGCCAGCCTAGGTGGAAAAGTCCCCATGAGACCCTTATCTCCAATTAACCTCCAGAAAAAACAGAAGTGCAGCTGTGGTTCAAAGTGGCAGAACAATAACCTTGAACAAAAGAGCTCAGAAACAGTGTCCAGGCCCAGAGTTCAAGCCCCAGAGACAAAAATAAATAAATAAATAAATATTTTTTATGAAAAATTTCATCAGCAGATGTGGTACAATTAGGAAAAGATATTCTGAAAAGGCTCCTAGGAGACAGAATAATGAAGAAAGAAAAATCATTTGGGTAAACTACTTCACAACCTCTATGATTGCTAGATGTTTCCATAATATGTATCTCCCATTGGGGTTTGTAGCCCAATTGCTAGGGGTGTCCCCTTACCAGTTGAGCCATAACCCCACCATACTTTTTGGTACTTATTTTGGAGATGGAGTCTAGCAAAAATTTTCTGCCCATGTAGGCCATGAATGGCAATCTCCAGATCTCAGCCTCCAGAGTAGCTAGGATTTATAGGTGTGAGGCACTGAAGCCCAGCTCTTACTGTACTATGTAAACTGTATCCATACAGCTTCATTAGATGTTCCGTTGTGCTAGATGTGATAATCCCTCAACATGGCACAAAAGTAAAGCTAACACATGGAACTGCAATTCTAAACCACCTAAGAAAACATGACCTTATGAAGTAATTCACCACGTCTCTTCCCTATGAGACAGTGTTCATGTGCAAAGGTGAGCTGATCTATGAGACAGTTTACAAAATTCACCTCCCACTGGGAAAGCTGCTGGGGCAGAACTCAGCATTGCACAATCAATTATGAAACCCAAATCACAATGTAAACGGACTACATGCCAGAAAAAATTTATATGAAAACTGTTATACAAGCAAAGATCAAATAGAAAACGAAGCAAGATTACATAGGCCCTAGGGAAAAAACGATCATGTACTATGCATTTAAAATGTAACAACAAAGTAGGGTGCAACTGTTTATTGAGTGAGTTGGACTGAGACAGTCCAACTGTCTCAGTTCAAGTCCTGGGCCTCCTAACCTGCTGAGCTAGAAGAACGTATCAATCTCCACTATTACCAATTCTTCTGTTACTTAGGCAAAGTAAACTTCTCTGCCTCTCAACTCTACAAGAATTCAGGAGCAGTAGTCACATGCTTACTTTTTTTTTTTTTGTCTGTCGTGGGGCCTGAACTCTGGGCTTGGGTGCTGTCCCTCAGCTTTTCAGCTCAAGGCTAGTGCCCTACCACTTGAGCCACAGCACCACTTCTTGCTTTTTCTGCTTATGTGGTGGTGAGGAATTGAACCCAGGGCTTCAAGCTTACCAGGAGAGTCACCTTCCCAGCCCCGGCACATGCTGCTTTCTTACCTGGCCACTTTGCGCTTGTCATGTGGGTGCAGCTTGGCAGCCATTTCTGGGTCCACCTGGCTTAGGCGTTTGTGCAGCACATGGCCATCTTCCTTCTCAAGCTCTACTTTCAGATCAATTACTTTCCCAGTGCCCATCTCTTGAGACTGTTAAAATGCAATTTAGAGTAAATGTCACTTAATAATGCAATATACTTTTAGACTGTATGGGCCAGACATTTTGCTTAGTTAGCATTATGAATGAAGAACAGAGATGTATCAGAAGATCTTACTGTATAGTGAGAGATAGATTATAAACCAAAAATTTCAATATTCTATGCTAAGTTCTGTGAGGCCACAGCAAACAAAGAAGGAAGGATTACTGCATAGGGAAGTACTCAGCTACCCTTCCCTGTACTGGTGCTAACACATCCATTTAACATATCCAGGAAACTAGTCTTTCAGCAAGGATGACTAAAGAGAGGACCAGAACTGCAGGTAAATTACCTTTGGATAAATCTCCCCACACACAGAGGCATCTCCACAAGAAAGGTCAGTCAGTGTTGGCCATCTCTCTGACATATGTATTATGCTGCCAGCCAGGAAATGCTGAATCAGACTAATGCACTGTTAACTTACATGAAGATGCTAATTAATCCACAAGAATATTTTTTCCCACACACAGCCCCTGCCCTTAGGCCTGCCTGGAGGAACATACTTCACATATGGAGGTAGTGTTTTCTGCAGAATACTAAGTAGGAAAATTACAACTGCTGAGCATAAGAAATAAGCCAAGAGTCAACCTTCCTCCCATTAAAACTAGCTATCATGAAAGAAACACCCATTTCCTCAGTGAGTTACAAATGAACTAAACTTACCTTGGTATTAACAAGAACTTTCCAGAGCAGAGACTCAATATAGTAATTGGTTCCTCCCACAACAATAGGAATTTTGTCCCGAGCAAATATATCTTCAATGTGGACATTAAGGAAGACATCATCATAGTTAATATGAAGAAGAGAATCCTGACACTTGGGAAGGAGTACTAGGAAGAAATCCCATTCATTTGCAGAGAAAAAAAAAAAGGTAGAACAAAGATGAATTGATGCTAGGCTTGAATGTTCCCTCTAAGCTCACACAAACATTTCCACTTAGTTCTGAAGGAACTTACATAAAAAAGGCAAGGCATAAATATATATATGGTAGTAATACCTTCAAGGTCTAGAAATTTTTAGGTCTTTTTGTCTCTTTTCAGTATTATTTTATTATAGAACTTTCTGAGTTTTGGGCTGGGAAGGTGGCTCAGTGGTAGAGTGCTTGCCTTGCATGCATGAGGCCCTGGGTTCAATTCCACAGGTGCTGTGGCTCAAGTGGTAGAGCGCTAGCCTTGAGCTGAAGAGCTGAGGGACAGCGCCCAGGCCCAGAGTTCAGGCCCCACGACCAGACCCCCCCACCCCCCAAAAAAAGAACTTTCTGAGTTTTGCTGCTAAAAGCCAAAGTTTTCAAGCCAGGTATGCAGCTCAAGTGGTGAAGAGCCTGACTAACAAATGAGGCTGAGTTCAAGCCCCAGTATTGACAAAAAAGAAAATTTCTAACTTTTATTTCAAATCAGTTTACCAAGCATAATCACAAGGGTTCTCACAGAACCAAGTGTCAGCTGTAGAGGAAGCTACTAAGGTGACATCCAGTGTGCAACTTTGCTTTTTAAGAGAAAATATAAATTGGTCTCTAAGCTACAGCTCTTAAGACTCAGGAAGTCTCTACTTCTATGTGGTAAAAGTACACATTTTTGTCACTCAAGACTTTACCAAATAAGCACAAGTTCTCAGAGAGACTTCAAATTCCAGAGCCCCGTTTTTGGGCAAGTTACTCGACCTGTCTGAAATTCAGTCTTCTCATCTGTCCAATGTAACATGTAAAGCCCCCACTAAAAGCCCCTGAAAATAACAAGCACTCCATTTACTTTAGTCACTTGTTTTTATATTCCTGCTACTTACTATTTGCTTTAACAGAGGTTTTCCTTTTGAAAAGAACTTCTGTGTGTGTGTGTGTGTGTGTGTGTGTGTGTGTGTGTGCGCATGCGCGTGCATGCGTGCGTGCGTGTGCGTGTGTGTGTGTGTGTGTGTGTGTGTCCTGGAGCTTGAACTCAGGACCTAGGTACTATTCTCTGACCTTTTTTGCTCAAGAGCGATAGCTCTACTACAGGAGGCACAGCTCTACCTCCAGCTTTTTTGATGGTTAACTGGAGATAAGAATCTCATAGACTTTCACAAGACCACACTAAAGCTACCAGCACAACTATGTTTATTGCAGCATTATTTACCATAGCTAAGATATGGAATCAACCCAGATGTCCCTCAGTAGATGAATGGATCAAGAAAATGTGGTATATATATACAATGGAATTCTATGCCTCCATCAGAAAGAATGACATTGCCCCATTTGTTAGGAAATGGAAAAACTTGGAAAAAATTATATTAAGTGAAGTAAGCCAGGCCCAAAGAAACATAGGTCCCATGGTTTCCCTTATTTGCAATATCTAGTATATGTATGAGTCAAGCGGAAAAGGTCAGATAATATGATGTTAGGAAAATGAACCCTTAGATATGTATTTTAATGTTTTTTTTCTTTCATGCATTTGTTTCTAACGCATTTATAAGATTATCTTTTTGTTGCGTTGTATGTCCCTCCCCCCCAGTATAACCCCTGCTTTCACTATATTTGATGTCAGTATAACTTGTAGAGGAGATGGGGAAAAACAAGTCGTTTAAGGATATAGGTGGACCTGTTGCAACAATGAGAAGTGCAAGTTGTCATGTTGAAAACGAGCTTTACAACGTTGGGGGGGAATTGGGGGGATGGAGGATTGGGGGGGGAGGTTGGGAAGGGATGTGAAGGGTAAACAAAGGAGGAGGCTGCAATGCTTGATAAGAAATGTACGCATTATCCTGCCCATGTAATTGTAACCCCTCTGTACAGTGTGTTCACAAAAAAATAAAAAAATAAAAAAAAGTTAAAAAAAAAAAAAAAAAGAATCTCATAGACTTTCAGACCTAAACTGGCTTTGAGCCATAATCCTCGGATCTCAACCTCCTGAGTAGCTAGGATTACTACAGCCACCAGCAACCCAACTGATTTAAAAAAAAAAAAAAGATTCGGTAACTAGATAAATCACCATCTCTACCCTCCTTCCCTTCCTAGTCAATCTGTAGGCACAGAAACAGATAATCTCTTTCTTTCAGAAGGAAACCCACTAACACTTAAGAAGACCTGGTAGAGTAGGAAAAAAAAAAGTTACCAATCAAGGCTCATAAAGAAAAAGCACTGCCTTGTATTTTAAAAAGAAAAACAAATTTTTTATTCTTTTTAAGTACAGGGAACATAATTACAGACTAAAATAAAGCATCATTATATAACATAATTAGCAAAGGGGCTGGGAGCTAGGAGAAGAGGAAGGAAAAACTGTGAGATATCAGACTGAGAGTAGAAAAGAGGGGGGAAATGTAGTACAATGTATTTGATGGGGAAAAGTTTAATATACTTGCCTAAGCCCTGAAACTATTGTGATCTTGGATAATACTCTCCTCTCTGGGCCTCAGTATGAATACTTTGCCTGTTAAATTAAAAAGGCTGACTGGAGAGTAGCTCAGGAGTAGAGTACTTGCTTAGCTCATACAAGGTCCTGGTCAGATCTCTGGTACCAAAAAAAAAAAAAAAAAAGGGAAAAAGGTTGACTGAACCACAAGTGGGAGAATGAAGCAGGACGACTATCACTTAAGCCCAGGAGCTACAGCCAGCCTGGCAAACATAGCAAGACCCCCATTTACAAACAAAACAAAACAGGCTGACCGGATACTTTTGTTTTTAGTTAGGCTCATTGTGTAGCTTAGGCTAGTCAGGAACTTTTGATCCTCCTGCAGCAAAGAGTGCTAGGATTCTGAGCTGAGGCAGTGGCTTACACCATTAATCCTAGCTACTCAGGAAATTGAGATCTGAGGATTTGGGTTCAAAGCCAGCCAAGACAGGAAAGTCTATGAGACTTTCATCTCCAATTAAACACACACACACACACACACACACACACACACACACACACACACGGGGAAAAAATCCTAAACACACACACACACACACACACACACACACACACGGGGAAAAAATCCTAAAAACACACACACACACACACACACACACACACACACACACACACACACACACACACACACACACACACACACACACACACACACACACACACACACGGGAAAAAAATCCTAAGTAGACTTGAAGCTCAAGTGGTAGAGCATAGAGCTCAGGGACAGCACCTAGGCCCTGAGTTCAAGTCCCAAGACTGGTCCAAAAAAAAGTGATGGAGCTGGGTGCCAGTGGCTCACACCTATAATCCTAGCTACTCAGGAGGCTGAGATCTGAGGATTGCAGTTCAGTCCGGGCAGGAAAGTCCATGAGACGTATCTTTAATTAACCACCAGAAAACCAGAAGTGGCGTTGTGGCTCAAGTGGTAGAGCACTTGCCTTCAGCTAAAGAGCTTAGGGACAATGCCTAGACCCAGAGTTCAAGCCCCACAACCAACCAAAAAACAAAGAAAAAAAAAAAAGTGATGAGATTCTATATACTTTTTTTTCCCCCCAGTCATAGGGTTTAAAAACTCTGGGCCTGGGCTGGGAAGATGGCTCAGTGGTTGAGCGCTTGCCTTGCATGCCTGAGGCCCTGGGTTCGGTTCCTCAGCACCACATAAGCAAAAAGAAAAAAGCCGGAAGTGGCGCTGTGGCTCAAGTGGTAGAGCGCTAGCCTTGAGCTGAAGAGCTGAGGGACAGCGCCCAAGCCCAGAGTTCAGGCCCCACTACCGGACTCAAAAAAAAAAAAAAGGTAAAAACTCTGGGCCTGGGTGCTATTCCTGAGCTTCGTCAGCTCAAGGTTAGTTCTCTACCACTTGAGCCACAATGCCACTTCTGGCTTTTTCTGTATGTGTATGTAGTACTAAGGAATTAAGCCCAGGGCTTCATGCATGTTAGGAAGGCACTATACACTAGGCCATATACCCAGCCCTCCGTGGGCTTTTTTGCTCAAAGCTAGTGTTCCACCACTTGAGCCACAGTTCTACTTCTGGCTTTTTGCTGATTAATAGAGATAAGAGTCTCATGGATTTTCCTGCCCACTGGCTTTGAACCACAATTCTCAGATCTCAGCTTCCTGAGTAGCTAGGATTACAGGGGTAAGCTACTGGCACCTGGCTCCTTTTTTAAATTATAAAGTATTCCATATGAAAGGATATACATAATATGTATATTGTATACTGGAACTGGAGGCATGCTCAAGTGGTAGAGCATCTATCATGAGTAGAAAAAAAGCTAAGGAAAAGCCCAAGGCCAAGTTCAAGCCCCAATACCAGTAGAAAGAAACATGTATAAATTATGAAGCCTAATAATAAAATAAATACTTGTGAACTCAACGTAAGAAATAGAGCACTGCTAATATCACTGAAGCCTCCAGTATATGCATTCTCATCCCAACACCTGGCTCCGATCTAAAATGGAATTGCCATTCTGAAATGCTATCATTCTATCACTTTTCTTACATTATTAGTAATGTGTATGGGTCCCCAATAAAGAAGTACACATTGGTTAGTTCTGCTTCCTTTTTAGCATTTATAGTAGCATAAATAGGATATACACACAGGTACTCTTCTGTAACTTCCCACATTTACACTCTTTCTAAAAAGAGATTCTTCCATTCCAACTGATGCACGTAGCTACAATTTATTCATTTTCACAGTTGAAAAGAATTTATATAAGTAAAACAATTTTTTTGGGGGGGAGGTCGGTTGTGGGGCCTGAACTCTGGGCCTGGGCGCTGTCCCTCAGCTCTTCAGCTCAAGGCTAGCAGTCTCTACCACTTGAGCCAAAGCACCCTTCCAGTTTTCTGCTTATGTGGTGCTGAGCAATGGAAGCCGGGGCCTCAAGCATGTCAGGCAAGCACTCTACCACTAAGCCACCTTCCCAGCCCTAGTAAAACAAATTTTATACACTCTCTTCTGAGTGGGAACTTAGGAATTTACATTTTTACTATTAAGTGCAATATCTTATACAAGTCCTTAAATTCAAACCCTGGTACCACCAAAAAAAGAAAAAGATTACCAACAAAGCTCCACAAAACTCTAAAGTCACAGTCTAATGAGCCAAATGCCAGTGGCTCACGTCTATAATCCTAACTATGCAGGAGAATGTGTTCTGAGGATCGCAGTTCAAAACCAGCCGGGGCAGAAAAGTCAGTGGGACTCTTATCTCCAACTAACTACCAGAAAACCAGAACCAGAAGTGGTGCTGTGGCTCAAAGTGGTACAGCTCTAGCCTTGAGCAAAAAAGCTCAGGAACAAAGTCCAGGTCCTGACTTCAAGCCCCACAATCAACAAAATAAAACAACAATAACAACAACAAGACTCTATTCAATCAAATGTATACTCTCTTATCTACTTCAGTTTCATTTTATACATAGACATATACACAGATATATAGATAGATAGATAGATATAGAGATATCAAAACCAATCTGAAATTTATTATGGCATATGTAATATAAGACCTAATTTTTTTCCAAAACAATTAACTGTCACAGGAATAATTATTAACAACTTCCTCATTTCTTATTATTGTGAAATGCCACCTTCATAACCATTTGAACCTCTAACTGGATTTTCTAGTCTGTGCCATAATTTTTCTAGTATTCCATGCTAAACTTCATGTTAAATTCCATAGTATAATTGTCATGAATTTTCAGTATTTTAATATCTGGCATTTCAGATTCTAAAGGAAATCTAGACTTTGAAGTGTAAGGACAGTCATATTAATCTTTTCTCAAAAACTTAAGTCTTATCCAGAACTACTTTTTTCAGTCCTAAATCTGAGTTTTGTCATTAAAACAAATTTTACTATACGTAAGAATCACTCGGCACTCTTGACATAATGCAGATTCTAGTTGTGTAGTTCTGGAGAAGTATCTAAGATTCAGCATTTCTAACCAGCTGTGAGTGGCTGAGACTTTTAAGTAGGAAAAGCTCTGTATCTTTTAAGCCCCACAGGTGTGGCAGTCATGCTACCTGTTGGTATTTAGGTCATGGGGACCCTTGCTTTGAAGGAACTACCACGAGAAAGAGAACTCCTTTCCTGGCTTTGGTTGCTTTTCCCCCACCTAACCTGGCTTTTTATTTTTTGGTCGGTTTTGGGGTCTGAACTCTAGGCCTCAGTGCTGTCCCTCAGCTCTTCAGCTCAAGGCTAATGTTTTAGCACTTTAGCCACAGCACCACTTCCAGCTTTTTCTGCTTATATGGTGCTGAGGAATCAAACCCAGGGACTCATGCATGCAAGGTAAGCGCTCTACCACTGAGCCACCTTCCCAGCCCCTAACCTGGCTTTTTTAAGGATATCAGAGCAGTTGCTTTGTTCCTGAAGTCCACCACTGTGTAACTGGTCACGAGAGGATCCACAAAGCTGATCATGTGGTGCTGGCAGATCCTCTGCTCTTGGGCAGAAACCTTGTTGGTGATGATGTCTAGCCCTTCATAGACCTAGGCAAAGAAAATGAACATAAGGAAAGTCATCTGCCTCCACAAAAGGTATGCTTGATGGGGAAGGGAGGAGAGGAGGAATGGGGAAGATGATTGTGTATTCCTCCTTCCTGCCAAACACTTGACTGACTTAAAACACCTGGTCTAGTCTATGTCTGAGAGGACAGGCAGATCCACAAGCTTCAACACAGAAAGAAGAAATTACAACAGTGGCTTATTTATCAAATAATAGCTACTTCAGACTTAAAAATAAGAAGGGTGTATAAAGCCAGTGCTGGTAGCTCCTGCCTGTAATTCTAGCTACTCAGGAGTCTGAGATCTGAGGATCACAGTTCAAAGCCAGCCAGGGCAGGAAAGTCTGTGAGACTCTTTAATGAATCACTCAAAAAACTGGAAGTGGCGCTGTGGCTCAAGTGGTAGAGTGCTAGCCTTGAGCTGAAGAGCTGAGGGACAGCACCCAGACCCAGAGGTTCAAGCCCCACAACCCACCAAAAAAAAAAAAAAAAAAAGAAGAAGATGGGTGTATAACTCCATGCCCAAGTAAGAAGTAGTTATAAACGATCAAAAGAAGGTTCTTGGGTTTGATTCCTGAGTACCACATAAGCAGAACAAGCCAGAAGTGGAGCTATGGCTCAAGTGATAGTGTTAGCCTTGAGCAGAGAGAGGCTCAAGGACAGTGCCCAGGCTCTGAGTTCAAGCTCCAAAAATGGGAAGAAGAAAGAAGAAGGAAGAAGAAAGGAGGAGGAGGAGGAGGAGGAGGAGGAAGAGGAGGAGGAGGAGGAGGAGGGGAGGAGGAGGAGGAGGAGGAGGGGAGGAGGAAGAAGAAGAAATGAGGAGGAAGAGGAGGAGGAGGAAGAGGAGGAGGAGGAGGAAAAGGAAGAAGGAGGAGGAGGAAAAAGAAGGAGGAGAAGGAGAAAGAGGAAGAGGAGGAGGAGAGGAGGAGGGGGAAGAGGAAGAGGAAGAGAAGGAGAGAAAGGAGGAGGAGGAGGAGGAAGAAGAGGAGGAAGAGGAGGAAAAGGAAGGAGAAGGAGGAGGAGGAGGAGGAGGAGAAGGAGAAGGAGAAGGAGAAGAAGAAAAGGGCTGGGAAAGTAGCTTGGTAGTAGAGTGCTTGTCTTGCATGCATGAGGCCTGGGTTTGATTCCTCAGCACCACATAAGCAGAAAAAGCCGGAGATGGTGCTGTGGCTCAAGTGGTAGAGTGCTAACCTTGTGCTGAAGAGCTGAGACAGCACCGAGGCCCAGAGTTCAGGCCCCACGACTGACAAAAAAAAAGAAAGAAAAGAAAAGAAAAAAGGGAGGTTGTATTGTTTAGTCTACTTACAAGTTATTCTACTTATCACAAATCTCTAAGAAAGTAAAATTTTGCATTGCTCATAATTCTACTTCAAAATACTTAAAATATTTCTTGGATTTAAATGGTTATAAAAGGTTGTTAGAATTCATGTAAGATTGGTTCTGTTTTATGGAAAAGTGGCCTATCTACAAAGATACATATAAAACACACACATACACACTTTGAAGTCAAAACCCCTAATACTTGCTATACTCTAGTAGAAACATTTTGATCTATCCAAATTACTGCTTCAGGGGGTGAGCACATAGTCTAAATACTCAATATCCTGTCTGTAAGCTCTTGATCTGTCAATTGAACTAAAAAGTTCAAGTGTACTTTGTGTAAATGCAAGGTCTCAGATGGAGAACAGATCTGAAAATAATAGTTTGAAAATAGGAACGAGTGTTTGGGAATTAAATGTGCCCTCTGTAATCACTGATTCTACATAGAGCACCGAATGAACAAATAATAAGTTCCACAGAGCCCACAAAGATGCTAAAAGCATTTTTTGTCTTCCATTTCCCTGTACTTATATGGGTGTCAGATAGGTGCAGTGCAGGGTTATGGTTAGGAAGAAAACCCTGGCGCCAAGCTGCCTCAATTCTGAACTCTACCACTTACTTTTATTTGTTCTTGGAGTATTCAGTTTCTAACCCTCTGCACCTCAATCTCTCACCAGTAAAACAGAGACAATAACATGTATCTCAGGGCTGTCTTAAGAATTAAATGAGTTAATATAGTAAATGAGCTTAGTTTTGTCTGGCAACCTATGTGAAGATCATGGGTTTTTTTGGTTTTTTTTGTTTGTTTTGTCAGTCATGGGGCTTGAACTCTGGGCCTGAGCCCTGTTCTTCAGCTCTTCAGCTCAAGGCGAGCGCTCTACCACTTGAGCTATAACCCCACTTCTGGTTTTCTGGTGGTTTACTGGAGATAAGAGTTTCACGGAGCCGGGCGCTGGTGGCTCACGCCTGTAATCCTAGCTACTCAGGAGGCTGAGATCTGAGGATCGCGGTTCAAAGCCAGCCCGGGCAGGAGAGACTGTGAGACTCCTATCTCCAATAAACCACAAAAAACCGGAAGTGGCGCTGTAGCTCAAGTGGTAGAGCGCTCGCCTTGAGCTGAAGAGCTGAGGGACAGCGCCCAGGCCCAGAGTTCAAGCCCCACGACCGACAAAAAGAAAAAAGAGTTTCACGGACTTTCCTGCCCAGGCTGGTTTTGAACTGCAATCCTCAGATCTCAGACTCCTGAGTAGCTAGGAATACAGGCAGGAGCTACCAGCACTGGCTTTATACACCCTTCTTATTTTTAAGTCTGAAGTAGGCCTCCTGAGTAGCTACAATTACAGGCGTGAGCCACCGGCACCCAGCTAGGATCATGGTTTGAAGACAGCCCAGGCAGGAAAGTGTGAGACTCTTATCTCCAATTAACCAACCAAAAGGTGGAGGTGGATCTGTGGCTCAAGTGGTAGAGTACCAGTCTTGAGCACAAAAGCTTAGGGACAGGCCCTGAGCTCAAGCCATAGAAGTGGCACCACACACACACACAAACCATCTCTCCCCATCCTCACACCATAACCTGCATCTTCCTCTATTACAGAACTTGTTGTACATGACTTTAAAATACTCTATCTCCCTTGCTAGTGTACAAGTTCTGAGGGAAGAAATGAAACATGCACCTTTAGTCCAACCAAGCATCTAACACAGCACTAAATCTAAGGAAAACAGTGAACACTTTAGGCACAAATGCTGAGTTCTATGCTTCCAACACCCTCTCTTTACCAATGAGGAAAATGAAACTCAGATGCATTAGGGAACCTGCCCAAAGTCACACAGGTCATTAGTGACACAGACAAACTCTGAATCTGTATCATCTAACCTCACAATGTTCTTTCCCTATCATGTTGCTAACACCTGGCCTACATAAATCAAGCTTTCAGATTTGGAGAAGTCACTTTCTCAAGTTTCTCATATCTAAATATCTAACATTACTTCTAGTGATGGAGGTCAAAGAAAGGAAGGAAAGTAAAACCAAAACATGGGCATCAAGGGTGGCCTGGCACAGTGATATATATATATAGATATATATAGATATATATTCCAGCACTAAAGAGACAAAAACAAGACAATCACAAGTTTGAGGTCAGACTGGCTAAAAACATAAAATAAAATAAAATAAAATGCAAGGGGAACTGGGTGCTGGTGGCTCACGTCTGTAATCCTAGTTACTCAGGAGGCTGAGATCTGAGGATCGTGGTTCAACGCCAGCCTGGTAAGAAAAATCCCCATGAGGGGGCTGGGAAGGTGGCTCAGTGGTAGAGTGCTTGCCTTGCAATGCATGAGGCCCTGGGTTCGATTCCTCAGCACCACATAAGCAAAAAGAAAAAAGCCGGAAGTGGTGCTGTGGCTCAAGTGGTAGAGCGCTAGCCTTGAGCTGAAGAGCTGAGGGGCAGCGCCCAGGCCCAGAGTTCAGGCCCCACGACCGGACCCAAAAAAAAAAAAGAAAAAAAGAAAAATCCCCATGAGATTCTTACCTCCAATTAACCACCAGAAAACAAGAAGTGCCACTATGGCTCAAAGTGGTAGTAGGGTACTGGCTTTGAACCCTGATCCTTAGAACTCAGTCTCTTGAGTAGCTAGGATTCTAGACATGAGCCACCAGTGCCTGGCCAAAAAAAAAAAAAAAAAATCACAACTTAGGCTGGGAATGTTTAATGGTACAACATGAACAGAAAAGGCCAGAAGTGACGCTGTGGCTCAAGTGGTTGAGTGTTAGCCTTAGGCAAAAGAAGCCCAAGGACAGTGTCTAGGCGCTCAAGGCCCTGTTTAAGCCCCAGGACTGGAAGAAGAAAAAAAAGCCAAAAACACAGGCTGACTAAATGTAACATGGGATACTAAACTGGATTTTCAAACAGACAGGGACACTAGCGAAAAGGCTGGTGAAAATCCAGGCCTACTCTAGGTAGACCTGCAATCAGTTTCCTCATTGTGATGAGTGTAACAGGATGACACAAGATGTTAGTATTAGGACAAACTCAAAATATATACTGGAATTCAGTGCTATCTTTAAGACTTTTGTAAATCATGTTTTTCTCCTAATTTCAGTACCATTATTATTTGGGGTCCAGACAATTCTTTACTGTGGCGCGCTGCCTTATACTTAGTAAAATGTTTCACTATGTTTTTTCCTATATTCACCAAGTGCCAGGAAACCAGCTCCTTGGTTACTACAAATAAAATGTTTTCAGAGATTGCCAAATATTCCCTTGGCAAGCAAAACCATTCCAGATTGATACCACTAATATGGAGTTATATATATTAACAGCTAAAGACATACATGATAGCTTCGTAAAATAAAGAGGAAAAGCAGAATACAGCAGAGCCTCAACTATGTATCAACTTACATAAAACATATGCACATGTACATAGTACACAGATTATTTCTGGAAGTATGTGCAATAGATATTAAAAGTGACCACCCTGGACACTTTTAGACATTATTTTCTTTGCACTTTTTAGTGTTATTTGGATCTTTTTCAGTAAGTATGTCTCTCTTTTTTCAAACACAAAAGGCCTTTTCATTTGGTTTTCTTCTCTTAAAGCTTCCAAATCACTAAGTTATTTCAAAAGTGTCAAAATAGGTTATCCTTTCCCCCCAGCCACAGCCTACTC